TCTCTCTCTCTCTCTCTCTCTCTCTCTCTCTCTCTCTCTCTCTCTCTCTCTCTCTCTCTCTCTCTCTCTCTCTCCCCCTCTCTCTCTCTCTCTCATGCGATTTCTCTCATCCTATTGCATTCGGATTCGAACTTGGGCCTGGCAGACACACTTGGACAACTTAGCACTGGGTGTTCTGGCAAGGCTGCTGTTTTCTGGTCTCTCCTCCCTTCTCTCTCTTCCTCCTCCCTTCTCTCTCTTCCCCTTCACTCCCTCTTCACTCCCTCTTCACTCCCTCTTCACTCCCATCAAGTCCTCCTCGCGTGCCCTCGCTCTCCTCCTCCTCCTGTGTGAAAGGGGAACTCGGAAAGTTGAGCTGTCTGTCTTCGGGCATTGATTTGTCCTTTTCTCTCCGACAGACAGATCCGGGTGGCATCAGGCCTTTTTTTAAATATATATATGATTAATTAATTAGCCTTTTTTGCGCTGTGCCAGTGAGAGGGATGTTCGAGGTAACGGGCCGTTGATCTTGAAATGGTCGGTTTTCACTCTCAGGAGTGTCTGGTACTGAGCGACTACCCTTGCCGGATCCGTCCTTCGCTGCTCCCCTCTCTCTGTCCTTCTGTCTGAAGGCAAAGTACTTAGAGTAGGACCTTTTTTTCGCCTCAGCTCTGGACGCGATTTCAGTCAGATGCATTCAATGCGGCCCGTCATTACGGTCAGATTCAGATTCAGTCACTCGATCATCGCCTTCTGACAATCCGACATGCGACTCGCTAGTCTTCTCGGGGGGGTCATCTCTCCCTTCTGTCCTCTCCCGCCCTTCTCCATCGTCTCATTGCTCGCATTCTTCTGACAGATCGAAGTCGATTAGCATTCGTAATTGTCACAATGTGTTGATGAGATCGTGATTACTTTTAAAAAAAAAAAAAAAAAAGATCGTGATTACTGTAATTATATGTGTTACGTCTTCAAGTTGGCCGTACGAGCCTACGAGGCTAAGATTTCCTGAATCGCCTTGGCTTCCTTGGTTTGTTCGTGTTTGTCTGTTGATATCGACAGGCACGTAATGATGCGTTGCGCCGCGGCGCCGCCGGCTTGTCAGCTTAGCAATCGTGGACATGGAGGGAGGGAGGATGTGTCAATAGGAGTGAAGGAGGTAGGTGATAGGAGGCAACCTCGTTACTGCGATGAGGTATAGTTGGAGGCGTAGCTGCATAAGGATGACGTAGTTCATACACTCATGCAGGTTTACGTATGTTATCTGCATGCATGCAGATTCAATTTAAGGTTTACGTATCATCTGCAATGCTCTGCATGCATGCAGATTCAATTTTACGTTTGCGTAGCATCTGCATTACGTTCCTTGAAAGGGGTGATGACCTTGATATGTTATCGTCGAACTGACCAGCTCCAGGTGGTTCAGAATCCACATTCATCTATTATTTCCCTTGCGATTCGAACACTGGTCTGTCTTATAACAATTCATGGGCTAGCAACTGAGCTAGGATTGTTGGTTCATGCAGAATCACGTACCATCTACAGATTTATGAATGGTCATTATTGGGTCCTCTCCCGCTGAGTCGCTTCCCTCCCTCCCTTCTGTTTTCGTCTCTCTCCTCCTTCGTTCTGCTCTCGTTTCGTAAGCTGCCCTCTCTCTCTCTCTCTCTCTCTCTCTCTCTCTCTCTCTCTCTCTCTCTCTCTCTCTCTCTCTCTCTCTCTCAGTATGTGTGTGTGTGTGTGTGTGTGTGTGTGTGTGTGTGTGTGTGTGTGTGTGTGTGTGTGTGTGTGTGTGTGTGATTCCCAGTCAAAGTCCGTCCCTTCTTATCGTAATCGGGACCTGTTAGAACAGATCGAGAGAATTATGAAATGTGGAAGCTGTGGAAGCTAGCTGGCCATGGGTTCAATCACGTGGAGCCCGGTTGGCCATGCAAACCGGGCACCGAGGGAGGAGGCGGCGGCTTGGCCGACGTGACCATTCCTATTCTGCAGCCTTACGCCCATGAAGAGACGGGGGAATCAGGTGAAGACGGGGTAGTGCCGACCGGTCCTAGGACAACACTTGGCGATTACCAGGACTGGCTGCTCGTAGGTATCTGCTTCTGTCTGTCATTGCTTGCTAGCAGTGTCTATGTCGGGTGGAAGCTGTCTGTCTTCGCCCGGCTATGGCGGTCGGCGACCACCTACTCTCTCTTCTTCCTCGCCATCGAGCTTCTTCTCTACCTATCTCAGCTGTCGTGGGCCGCAGAGTTCTCTCGCCCACCGGCTTCCCGCAAACGCCTCCGACTGGGATCCAATGGCCCTTTCCCACGTGTGGCCATTCTGACCACGTGCTGCAACGAGGAGTTCGACGTCGTTCAGGACACAGTTCTGTGCGCTCTGCGGCAGGATTACCCGCAGGACCGTTACGGCGTCTGGGTGCTGGATGACGGGAAGGACGACGAGCTGAAGGCCTGGATCGAGACTCTGGCCAAGGAGACGGGGCGGCAGGTTGGGTACATCCGCCGGCCCAAGCAGAAAGGCGTGCCACATCACTTCAAGGCCGGGAACCTGAACTACGCCGTGAGCCAGTTACAGGACGAATTCATTGCAGTCCTCGACGCGGACATGATCGTGAGCTCCGACTTCCTCTCCGGCATGTTGCCTCACTTCTTCTCCTCTCCCAAGATCGCCTTCGTTCAAGCCCCTCAGGCGTACTACAACATATCACGAGGGGACCCTCTCAATGGGAGCAACATCTACTTCTACGACGTTTGCCTGCCCCAGAGGGACGCGTTCCGCGTGGCCCAGTGCGTCGGGACGGGGGTGATCTTCAGGAGGAGCAGCCTGAGCGCCGTTGGATTGTTCGTGACGGGGGCCGTGACAGAGGACATCGGCACGTCCTTGCAGCTGCACTCCCAGGGGTGGGAGTCGGTGTACGTGAACGAGCGGTTCCAAATGGGACTAACGCCCTGGACCTTCGACAGGTACGCGAAGCAGCAGTTTCGGTGGTGCATGGGGGAGCTTCAGGTGATCTGGCAACGTGGGCTCATCTGGGCCAAAGGCGACGCATTTTCACTGTCCAGGAGGCTCATTTACTTCCAGGCGGGTCTGCACTCCTTCTTGGCCTTCTCCACTCTAGGGCTGATCGTGCTGGCGCAGGTGTTGTGCATCTTTCAGCCGTGGCTGCTGCCCCTCGAGGCAGATCAGCAAGACTACAGAAACCTCGTCTTGTTCATCACGCCTCATCTGGTCTTCGGCCGACTAGGGTCCCATGCGATTCACCTGCGAGTCCCGGGGTTCATGTCCCGGCAGCAGGTCCGGATTCGAGGCGAACAGGCCTGGTACTGGATGGCACCGTACAAGTGCTTGTCCGTACTGCGAGCGTACATCCCATGGGTCTCCAAGACCTTCGAGGCAACTGGAAGTAAGAGCACCGATGACTACACTGGGCCCTTCGCCCTCGTCTTCGCGATACTCAAGTCGTGCCAGTTGATTGGATTCCATCTGTTGTATGTTGTCATCGCACTGGCCGGGATTGGGTGGAGGATCACCCTAACGGACTTAAACAGCTGCCACGACTTGATGTCGTCGACTCTCGTCATCCTATGGATGCTATTCAATGCGCAGCAGATGTGTCCGCCCATCCTCTTTCAGCTGTTTCCACCCGCTTTTCCGGTAGAGACGGATCGACGGTCCTTGCTAAGGTACGATGAACACGGGGTGCCAGTGTATGAGCACGAGCGGGGAATGCCTCCGACGGACTGGCGGGTGATCGGATTGGAGATCCTGCCAACGGTGCAAGCGGTTGTGTGGATGTACCTCTTCTGGATTGCTTTCCACCCCGATTACAAACCGGGATACTGCCAAGGGGATTTCTTCCAGCACAAGGTAGTCTGATTGTGGACTCGCCTAAGCAGCTTGCAGCCATGTCGCGTCCTGGTCCCCCCCCCCCCCCCCCCCCCCCCCCCCCCCCCCCCCCCCCCCCCCCCCCCCCCCCC